TTCCATGCTCTTGGCTGGGAAACTGGGCAGCGTTGGAGCAGGAGAGGTGATAAATGCAGGGATAACTCATGAGCAGGACATGCAGGCAGGTGTCACCTGTTTGCAGCCCATCATCCAAAATGTTCCCTGTGACACGCACAGAGCATCCATCCTGCTCCCTCAGGCACACAAACACCTCCCATCTCCTCACTGCAGGCTTTTCTACAAATAATTCTTTTTAGTTTTCATCCTCTCTGCTTATATTTACCTCTACCTGCATTGTTTTTTGAGCCAATATAGGAAATATTTCAGCAGATAAACTGATAAAGTGACATCCTCCTGCCTGAGCGACAGCAGCTCCTTCACACAGAGGATGTGCAGAGGAATTTTCACACCAGGAGCTATGGGGTTTATTTTATTTCAGTGCCAAATTAATGGCACTGCTTTTATCAACTCGATTGTCATGATAGCTGCAAGAGCAGCAGCTGGGCTCTGTGTTCCAGGCCTCCTGCAGCATTTTTCTTCCAAGMTGGACAAGAATGCACTCATCAAAACAAAGAGAAACCATTTTCTCTCCTGGGAACCGAGCACCGAGTTCCCATAAGGCAAAACAAAATTATGCAATGAGTCAAGACAATGTCCTGGGCATGTGGAGTCTTGCTGTGTGCTCGGAGCACTCACATTCCAGCAGCACTCKGTGCAGGAGAGCAGCACAAAATGGTGAGAAGGCTTCAGCCCAGCACATCCCAAACTGCCCGGCTGTGCTGCACGAAAAAAGAGTGAATCCTGGCAGCACCTCTGTGGCCTGGAGCTCAGAACTCCTGGCCTCAGCAGCCAAGACAATCCCAAAAATTATATTCAATAATTTATAAATACTGCCAAGGACTTCTGTCCAGCAGATCTGGTGAAGAGGCAAACACAGGGGGATGGATTTACTGTTATTTTCCTGATAAAGTGCTCTGCTGTGGATGAGGGATCTCTGAGTGGGGCTGAAATTCAGCTGAGGCATTTTCAAAAGGAAGGGTTGAGTTCWTTAAATGTGCTGCACCTTCCAAACAAGAATGGTATTAGACAAAAACACTTCAATCGAAATAGAACAGTCTGAAATTTCCTGGCAGCTTCCCTKGCCCTTCCCATCCATCTCCAGGCTTCTGCTGTGTCTGTCTTCTCTTTTTAGTGAAACCAAACCTTGCCTGGGTATCCTTTCATGTAAAGGGGTGAGGTTATATTGTRCCCCTGCCAATCTCTGTGTATATTTATTTATTTATTTTTTTATTTATACACACACAGWACCCCTGCTGGGTTGGTTCCTTGCAGGTGTATTCAGAGCAAACCCTGCTATCCCAGTGCAGCATGAATTACTCCACTGTTCTGCAATATCAATTCACATTTCAGCCTGGTTCTTAGCCAGCATTCTTCCACCAGAGAGGCCCTTCTTACCTAACCAACACCGAAAAAAACTTCCCAAAAAGTCAGCAGCTTAAATCCATCTGGGCCTTGGCATTAGTATAAGAGAATCTATTGTTTCCTATTAATGCTGCTCCAATCCTCTTACTGCAGATATGGGGCTGGCTTGGGGACATTTATAGCTCAGGTCATTCTTTGT